AACAATATTTGCTTTTGCATTGCATTATGGCATTTGCATTGCATTGGTTTACCTTGCATTAGGGTAGTTCCCTGATTTCTATACAGGGTGAGTCTTAAATAAGTGCAAATATTTTCAGGGCTGGTAAATCTCGATAAAAGAAACATAATATTTTCTCTTTACCGTTTTTTCAAATAAATCCAAAGCAACCGAGTTATTTCACTTTTAAAATTTCCAATTTTTTGCTATAATTTTGAGAATCATTGGATTTTCTTTCTTGTAAATTTAATATACTACCTATGTTGCCATATTACAAACAAAATATGTTTTTAAACTAAAAATTAAAAAAAATTCCAATTTTTTTTCCAAAATTCCAAATTTTCAAAAAAAAATCGCGCAAAAAACCTCATGATCGTGATTCTTGGGTCGAAATATACTATCCCTAAAAATATTTGCACTTATTTAAGACTCACCCTGTATATAAAGGGAAAAATTGACTAAAACGTAAGGTGAAAAAATACGCAAAAAAATCCAAACGGGCCCCTCATTACCTTTCCCTATTTGTAGAGTATTTTTTTCTCTTTCTAATGGTATAAAAAAACTTATTAACGTAAAAAATGGAGTTAACAGGTTATCACGTTTCACTGACGATAGGTATGTCACGTTTTGACATTCTCGCTTAAATCAAATTTAAATTTTAAAATTCAATCTAGAGTGCCATGGTTATGTTAAAAATACTAATTCTTAATCAAGGAGCCTTGGAAAAATAGATTTGATTGTCTAATGTTTTTAGTGTCTTGTCCTGGCCAGTTAGAAAAGGCTTAAATCGTATTTTTAATCATATTTCAATTTTTTCAAATGGAACGAGGGTGGCTCACTAGCATATTTGGAAAAAGCATTTTTTTACGAATAATTTGGTACCACACACTTGGTATTTCGAGTCAAATTTTTGTTACGAACCGCAAGTTATAATTTCAAATAAACCATATGCGAAAATGTCAGCGGTTGACATATGATATGTCATTCTATTCGGAGTGATATTTTCTATCGAATAAAGTAAAAAAGTACCGAGTGTGCCATTTAAAAATCAAAAGTTGAAGTCATTTCCGGTGAAACAGGAAGTGACAGAAAACAATTGAATACGTCAATGAATCCTAATTTATGTCATATACTAACATACCAAATCTCGTTTTTTTAACTGTAAAAATAAAAAAGTTATAGGGGTGAGCCACTCGGCTGCTCCATTCCAAAACACAGTATATGTAGAAAACAAACTTGTGAGAAAAACGTTCTCTAGTTTTTTTAGTTGGATTTTGTAGTGTATTAAAATGTGTAGATACTAGGTTTTGGGCACGTTATATCTCCGAATATCTTATAGCTATCAACAAACAGGCCAGGTTAAAACATACAGAAAAACACAGTATATCCAAATAAGTAAGAAAACTAATTTCTGAAAAAATGTTGGTTACTCTGTTTTGGAATGGAGCAGCCGCACTTTTGAGACGCACCCGGTATACAGGATAAGTCTTAAATAAGTGCAAATATTTTCAGGGCTGGTAGGCTGGTAGTTAGGGAAAAAGAATCATAATTTTCTCTTTAACGTTTTGTAAATAACTCCAAAATAACCCAGTTATTCTACTTTGAAAATTTAAAAAAAAAAATTTAGTTAAATTTTGAGAACCACTGGATCTTTTTTGGGTTTTATTTCTTGTAAATATAATCTTCTACTATATGTTACCATATTATGAAGATTTTGTGTTTTTAACGAAATATACTACCCCTAAAATATTTGCACTTACTTAATACTCATCCAGTATATCTACACAATTTTGATTCAACTTATATATTATATATTTGTCCTTATACCCAAAATGAGTATTTATTAAACAAATAACTTAGTAGATGAATTTCTGCAAGCGGGTCTTAAAAAATTTAAAATAATTTGAGAAAAAACTTCTTTTGACTCGTCCTGTATATATACAAATACAGTGCAATATAGTGTGCTCAAAGTATATAATCACGCACACACTATAAGACCTAATTAATTAAGACGTAGCCGTAGCCACGGATTAATTAAAAAGAGAACACTAAAGCAAAAACACGAAAAAAAGTAAACAAAGGGAAAGCTATCCAGGCATTCCAAACCATGGCCAGCTCTACACGCTCCTAATTTATCGTAGGCGGCCAGAATAAAAAGCAGAAAAAAGTGTTAAAACGCTGTCTTCACCGGTACGCCGCTCCCCGCAATCTGTCAACACCGTTGGGTAGTTAATAAGATTACGAATGGCGTTGTTAAGTCAACAAAGGGTCTAACGAATTTATAGAATTATTGCAAAATTCCGCGAATTTCGCCGGCGACGTTGATTAAATTAGTTGGTTTTTGTTTCTTTTTGAGGAATTAGAAATATAAGAAAATCAATAAAAATCAGCTTGCACGTAATCAAAATACTTGGCAAAAAATGCACGCTTCGAAATGAAACAAGTTTAAAGTGCCTATAAAACAATGTAAATACTATTTGGCGCTGTTTTTGCAGCGGACGCGATCCAAAACTTTTGATGATTTCGGAGCTTCGGCTTTTTCTGGAATTATATCACTAAATATTATTTATTCAAATATATTATTAGTTTCTTTTAATTTTATAAATAAATTACAGTGTGTTGCACATCAAAAACTTTATTTTGTACAAGGACATGTATGAAGTACCTAAAATATATTAAAAAAACTGTAAAACCCCAGTCTAAAGAAAAAAAAAGAACTACCATACCTAATAATTAGGTATAGTTCATACCAATTAAGCTTTTAGTCACGTGATTAAGCTTGACCGGCACAGCGTTGCCCACTTTTATATATTTTCTTTTAATCAAAATATTTTAGGAAACAAAAATAAATTAATTTTAAATATATAAACAGTTATTACCTCGGTTATTACTTACATCAACAAAACTCACCTTCTTAACAGCACTTAAGGGACATAAAAGACCATTACTACCGCATTCCCGTTCAAAATATTCGGTAATTATTGGGATAACTGGAAATCGTCCGATTTTCACCAAAATTGGTATACACCCTATTTTGAGGTCGCAGATTACAAATCTGAACTTTTTTCTTGGCGGTCTCTTACCGTTTTTCAGAAAAACGAAAAATTATTTCAACATGGAATTTTTCTTTATTTCGGTTCTATAAAGTAATAATTTTACTATATTTTCATTATATTATAGTTTATCTAAAAGCCACACTTGATTGAGGATAGAAGAATGTCCAAAATTTTACTGATAAACACTTTTCTTAACTAAATAACAAAGAAAATTGAGGCCAGATGGACGTTTGACATTTCATATATCCTTCTTTCTCTCTCCTATGTAATGAGAGAGACAAATATATTCTAAACCTAATCTAGAAATTTGAAAATTTACAACGTTGCCATATCTTCTATTTTTTCGGGTGATTAGGCATTTTAAATAAATTACCTAATGAGATCTGACAATAATAGTTAAATATACCTACCTATATCCACAAAGTTACGCGGAAGAGTTTTGATTGCATTGGTTTCAACTTCTATGCGGAGGGTGTTAATCTTTGGTTGTTATATTATACCAAAAAAAGATTAACCCCTTTCGCAAAGAAGTTATATAAAAACTATTTATAACCACGAAGTTGCACGAAAGAGTTTTGATTGCATTGGTTTCAATTTCTTTGCAGAGGGGGTTAATCTTTTTTTGGTATAATACAACAACAAAAGACTAACACCAAACTATCACCCTCCGCATGGAACTTGTAACCAATGCAATCAAAACTCTTTCGTGCAACTTCGTGGTTATAAATAGTCAGATTTCGTTGGTAAAATAGCAGTTATGGGAAGGAGCCGTTCTTCTGGCGACCGCCTTTCGTAATCCCAGAATGAGCGAAAAAAAACACGCTAAATTTAGGTTTAGCATTGGCAACGTTGCTTTCAATGCCAGCAACACATAACCCAACATTTTCAGATTGTTTACAAATTTATTTTAGCAAATTTTCCGCTATTATGCATAGAATTGGTTAAAAAAGTAACAGAAAATAGCAAAAACATCATTGTTTATTGAATACCTAACAAAATATGTGCTAGAAAACCTTAAAAATAGGAGAAATTAAGAAAAATTCGATGTTGAAATAGTTTTTTGTTTTTTTTTTGAAAAACGGTAAGAGACCGCCGGAAAAAAAGTTCAGATTCGTAATCTACGACCTCAAAATAGAGTGCATACCAATTTTGGTGAAAATCGGACGATTTCCAGTTTTCCCAATAATTACCAAATATTCTAATATGTTGCGATGAGTTTTTGCATTATGGCTATTTACTAATAAAACTAAAAGTTTAATTGGTAACACCTATATAATATTTATTATAATGCTGGGTCACAGTGAAATCCTCCAGGTTTAAAAACTTTTATTGATTCTCTTGTTTTAATTTGAAATAAAGAAAGTTATATGTAAAATTGGTGAATTCCAGGCGTAATACTATTTTTTCCAGGCTTTCCTAATTACTCATTGTATACAGGGTGTCCCAGAAATAAGTGCAAGTATTTTAAGGTGTGGTATATCTGGTCAAAAGAAACATTTTTTCTCTTTACCATTTTTCAAATAAGTCCAAAATAACAAAGTTATTTTACTTTGAAAATTTAAACAAAAAATGCTTTTTTGCTTAAACTTTGAAAACCACTGGATCTTTTCTGGATTTTCATTCATGTAAATTTAATCTATTATCTATGTTGCCATATTATCAAAAAGTTATGTTTTTCAACTTAAAACTAAAAAAATTTCCAAAATTTTTTTCAAAAAAATTTTCGCAAAGAAAAACATCATAGGAGTGTTTCTGATGCCGAAATATACTACCAGTTAAAATACTTGCCCTTATTTCTGGGACACCCTGTATAGTCGGTACCACTTTTTTAAAATTTAAATTTAAATAATAACACTATATTTTATATGCTTTTACAACGACTTTCTTATAAAAAAAAAACTTTACTATCTTTCTTATTTTTTACAGTGTCAATTCAGATTTGCTATCACCACTAGATATTGCTGTTTTAAGCAATAACAGACCGATGGCAAAGATGCTGGTGTCATTTGGAGGCAGAGAAGGCAGTCAATGTAAGTAGTAAACTAGGCACATATATTTGTATATAAAAATGCACTCCAGTTACAAATCAGAATCAGACGATAGGTATGTAATGAAATTGAAAATGTTATCCGATTAAATGTCAATTGTAATTTGAAAAGAACAAAACTCGGCAGAATAAATATTTCTCTTCGTTACGTTTCGAAAATGTTAAGAGGATTTCATTCAGGTTTTACATTTCCTTCTCATTGTCCCAATTTTAATCGAATTGTTCTATTTAAATATAAAATCATCATCCATGTCGGAAATTCAATTAAACGATACCTTCCGAAATTATTATTATTTATATAATTTTATATCCGCGTAATGCTGTCCTTTTTAATTATAAAAGTGTTTCAAAAATAGTGAAGTTTGAATATCACTCATTGTAATTTACGAAATTAATATACAGGGTGCGTTTTAAATAAGTGCAAATATTTTCAGGGCTGGTAGATTTGGATAAAAGAAACATATTTTCTCTTTGCCGTTTTTCAAATCAATCTACAATAATCGAGATATTTTACTTTGAGGATTTCCAAAAAAAATATTTTTTGCTAAAATTTTGAGAACCACCGGATATTTTCTGGATTTTCTTTCTTGTAAATTTAATCTACTACCTATGTTGCCATATTGTCAAAAAAAATTATTTTTTAACTAAAAAATTTGCAAAAAATTCCAAAGTTTATAATATATCGTGTTTCTGGGGTCGAAATATACTACCCCTAAAAATATTTGCACTTATTTAAGACTCACCCTGCATAATTTTATATCCGTATATTTTTGTGATATAATCTTACCAAAACGTTTATTTTTGTGATATATTATTTTCAGTTTCCAGTAGGTTTTTACTTGTACAGGGTGGGTCAAATTCGACGCTTTTAAATGGAATCACCCTTTTCTATAGGAGATAGACGAAATCTAATATCAGTGTCTGGAGCTCAATTTTCATCAAAGACATGATAGTGAAAACCGCACATCAATATCTGTTACCATTTTGGAGTTACGGGGCGTTTTTCAAAAATGTGCATTTTTAACAAATCTCTGTAACTTTTTTGCTATGGAAAATTTTGTATTTCTATGAAAACATTTCCAAAGCATCTTTTTACGTAGAATTTAATGGTTTAAGTATAATTTTTTTAAAATTAATAATTTAAGAGTTATCAACAGGAAAATTGATTTTTTATTTGGGACACCCTCTATATTTTTAATTAACTGAAAAGAATGTAAAATTACCTTTCCAAAAATATAGCACACTTGATATTTTGTTATAATCCCCTTCGAAATACAGGATTTTTAAAAGTTTGTCACTTTTAACTAGTAGGCTTTGGAACCCTTATTGGTGATATGCCCTTAATGGAACTCGAAAACATATTTTCCTGCAAGACGTCTCTGAACGCTGAAGTTATCAGCAAATTTTTGCAGCCAATTTCAAGAATAATTGGATAGCTAGATCCCAGCCGTTGGCCGTCGAGGCCGCCTGATTTAGTGCCCATGGATCCAATCCTATGGATATATTTGCGGAAGAATAAAGGTTCCTTATTCTTCCGTATAATCTAGACAAGAATTAAAAATACTTAGCAGTTATGAGAGGGTATCTTTCACCCCCACTGAGTTAATAAATTCCGCGAGAAATGTTCAAAAACTGCCCCGTCTGTCCATAACAGAAGACGGTTGATATGTCGAACACCTGTAGCAAAATCTCATGCCTTGGTTTGCTATTTATTTTTATTGTTATTAAATATATTTTAAATGTGTTGATGTTGGTTAAATATATTTTAAATTGTTATAAAATTCTGCATCTCTCATAGCAAATATTATTTTCGTTTTAATTTATGCTCACAGCTAGAATTTTTTTGTATTACAGCCGGTGCCGTTCAAAGCCTACTTATTTAAAAGGAGGCGAATTTTTATATACTCTATATCTGGAAGAGGAATAGAGCAAAATATCAAGTGTGTTACATTTTTGGAAAGGTAATTTTAAATTCTTTTCAATAAATTAAAAATATACAGGGTGTCCCATATAAAAAATCAAATTTTCTGTTGATAATTCTTAAATTATTAATTTTAAAAAAATTATACTTAAACCATTAAATTCTACGTAAAAAGTGCTTTGGAAATGTTTTCATAAAAATACAAAATTTTCCTTAGCAAAAAGTTACAGCGATTTGTTAAAAACGCATATTTTGAAAAAACACCCCGTAACTCCGAAACGGTAACAGATATCGATATGCGGTTTTCACCATCATGTTTTTGACAAAAATTGAGCTCCAGACACCGATATTAGTTTTCGTCTATCTCCTATAGAAAAGGGTGTTTCCATTTAAAAGCGTCGAATTTGACCCACCCTGTACACACAAATATGCCGAACCAATAAAAAAATACGATCAAAAAAAAAGGCGTCAAAGACGGGTGGAGAATGACAATCCATAATAGTTTTGGCAAGGTCAAGCCCTAGACTTCATTACTTGGCCCCTCATTACTTCTTCATTTTTAATAGCGTTTAGTTAGGTTAGGTTGTGATTGTTAAATTTTGCAATTTAAAATTCCAGAAAAATATTTTGTTTTAAATAGATTTCTGAATGTCTCTCTATAATTATTAGAGTTAATTTTTGACAAGTTTTATATCAATTTTTATTAAATGACATCTAAAGATTGTCCTGGCCAAAATTATCATCGATTTCACTCCTCTTTAATCTTTCTTTGACGCCATTTTTTTCGATCATACGGTATTTATGTTTTAAGGGGTATAAATGAGTGACAGCATAGCATAACTTCGTAACAAGAAACAAAAAAATTGGCGCCAGGAGGCACGTATAGCCGCCCATAATTAAATATGTTAATATCTCAAAAACTGCGACTTTGACTGATTTTGATGTTATTACAAATTTTGTTGTAAATATTTTTCTTAATCTTAAATTGAAAACCGCGTTTCGCTAACTCCTGTAATTTTGGAGTTACGATTTTTTAAAATGTTTAACCCCCTCCCATACCCCCGTACCAACCACCCATCCCCACCAAAAACTATTGGCCAGATTCTCGGGTGCCACAGTATTTTTGTGCCAAATTTGGTTAAAATCGGTTCAGCGGTTTTTGAGTTATCGTGTTACAGACGGAGAGACAGACACCATGAAAATATTTTGTATTTAGGTCATTTATGGCCCAAATAACTCATTTTGAGTGAAATTAAAAAAACTTTATTTTGCCGATCTTAATCTAAAAAAGAATAGCTAATATAAAAATGACAAAAGTTATAACTAAACACAACGTTTAAACAGATATAACTATAAATAACTTAAAAATTGACTAACTAAAGAAACAATGAATAAACTCACCCAACGTAATGGAAGAAATCTATAGAATGGTTTGCCATTTTAATTGCTGTGATGAATAATGTCCTATATAAAAAAATCTACCAATCCATTTAACAGTATAGTTGACTTTATGTCAATATACTCTCAACCAGTAATTCTCTCGGAAGTTAACGGAAACACCTATAAAACAAATCAAATTAATTTGGAACACCTAACTTTTGATTTTAGGTAATTTCCAACAATAATTAAATTACTGTAGTTGTTATGGCCCCTTTGCAGATTTTTAAATGTATTAATGTATTTAATTGCTTTTTTATAATTATATATGTACTTTTAATAGAAGAAATATGACATATCTTGTTTTTACATTTCCGCTTAAAAATTAAGAAAATAATTATTCCTTTGATAAAATAAAACATGCCAGAAAGTGAATAAAAAAGACTTTTCAAAAAATTCAAACTAATTTGCTTACCGTTTAAAAAAATTATGTAAATAAAATGTCACTCTCATTTATGTCTGGAAAAAGCTTAAAAGAAAATGAAAATGTTTATCTAATTAATTTTAAAACAAGTGTAATTATTTATTCACAACGCTTTTACAACATGAAATTACTCAATCCACACGAAACAAGAAACAGACAAATATTTTATATTTTTTCCTAAAATATAATTAAAAAAAAGATGGCACACTTAAAATGGAAAATCGACAATATTTATTTTTGTCCAAAGTTATTTTTTCTAACCATAACGAACTCGGCCGCAAACTGGCAACCAAAAAAGAACTGGCAAATCCGAGTTTTTAATTTCTTTTATATCATTAAAGTTGGCAAAAGTTACTTTAAGGACTTTTGGAAAGTTTGAAATTGAGCTGAAAAAATGGTTCGTGTTTTTTTACTTTCAAAGAAAAGAGTTTTTGGAAGTTAAGAATGATCAAAGAATAACAAGTTTTTTATTGTTAAAGTTGATAGACTAATAATTTTAAGAGTTTTTAATATATCAGATTTATGATTGCTTAACCAAAAATTATTATTAGAAACTCATAATTTTTAAATTAAGGTCTGTTAACAGTTATCACAGATTATTTTTCTTGTACATTTTCCATTATTAAGCTTAGTTTCAATTATTTCTCTGAGCTTTATGAAAAAAAGTCCTTTGACTCGGGCATAACTATAACTATTATCTTTGTATTAATTTATATTTGCTTATGTTGTTTTTTCTTTCATTTTCAGTTTCAAGTTCGGAAAAAATGGGATCGCATTTGAGACAGTTGCTTTGTGAAGCTGAGATGCGACTGCAAGAACTGGGGGGACTCTTAGAGGAGCCCTGTGGGGCTGCTCTAAATACACGTGCGTCTTTTTCTAGTATGCTAAGTGCTGGGTCTACCTCATCTGTGACGGGTAAATACTAACCCCATAGACTTAAAATAAATATATTTTATTTTAAGTCTATGACTAACCCCATTTTCTTTCAATTACTAATACAATAAAATATCACCATCGCCTATAGTTCTTCTCACGTTGCTTCTCAGTAACAGCATTCTTCATTTTAACACTATTTAACAGGCAAATATTATTGATACAAATTGTTCAAACAAATAAAATTATATTTTCTATTAAATAATTTGAATGGTTCTGTTTTTACTCTTACAAATTAATTTATTATTTTTTAGAAAGTATTACTAGTTTGGGTAATTAGAGGAAATATTGGAAATTGCCATTATTGTTATAAAAAATTATTGTATACACCCTATTTTGGGGTCACAGAAAACAAATCTAAAGAAGGCATGAAAAAAATAATAATTTCAGGATGTGCTGGTGGTGATACGGAAAAACAAGCCGTGGCTTGGGGTCGTAAGGCGAAGACTTTGAAACGGCTGGTGTTGGGATTCACCCAAGCGAGGCCTCCAGATGTTCCGTCCATGGTGGCCCTAGACATAACTGCCAAAAATGCGATTACAGTGAGGTTGGCCGAGCCTACGTCGCAGGAGTCTCCCATAACGACGAAATTTTTAGGTAAAATTTTGATTTTTTTCCGTAAAAATTGAACACAAACCCAGGTTTGATTTATTTAAACTTAATTATCGTTGTCTGTTGGTCTGCCACTTAAAAAATATCTACTTAATAAAACTAAAATTATGTTTTAAGATTTGACATAGAATAGAGAATGTTGACATAGCGGATACAATTTTCAATATCTAGTTTTGACTCAAATTGAATATATACAGGGTGTCCCAGAAATAAGTGCAAGTATTTTAATGGGTGGTAGATCTGGTCAAAAAAAACATTTTTTTCTCTTTACCATTTTTCAAATAGGTCCATAATAACCGAGTTATTTTACTTTGAAAATTTAAACAGAAAATGCTTTTTTGCTTAAATTTTGACAACTACTGGATCTTTTCTGGATTTTCTTTCATGTAAATTTAATCTACTACCTATGTTGCCATATTCTCAAGAAATTATGTTTTTAACTTAAAACTAAAAAAATTTCCAAATTTTTTTTTCAAAAAATTTCAAATTTTCAAATTATTTTTTTCACAAAAATAAAACCCATAGGCGTGTTTCTGAGGCCGAAATATACTACCAGTTAAAATACTTGAACTTATTTCTGTGACACCCTGTATGGGTACACTGAAAAAAAGGATCTCTCAGTCGAAATGAATATGACTTTGACCCAAAAGATTGGCGCTTTTCAATAGGGCCAAGAACGACGTTTCTTTACCCAAAGCATTAACTATCTTTTCATAAGCTTTAAAAAATTACTTTAGAGAATAGAAAAGTCTATCTGTCCAAAGTATTTTACTCTTTCCCAAAATGAATATGCAAAGAAGTTCTTGCTACAAGAACAATAGTCTCTTTGATTCATGCAAAAATTCTTGATTGAAAAGGGACATTTATTGATTAAAGAGACTTTTCTTAAACCAATAGCGAATACTATTGACTCAACTAAAATTTATTTTGATCTAAGAGAAGTCTATACATCATATACAGGCATATTACGAGGTATAATATTTTCTGATAAATTTAGGTTTTCCTAGTCTGGTAGTAAGTAAAGTGATATTATTTTCCTCGATAGTAGTTATTTCTGCTTCTTCTCTCCTTGATATTCTTTGGGGTGGTTCATCACTCTACAAATTAGAAAAAAATGTTACATCACGATTAATCAAAGTAAAGCAAATAAATTTGTGTAATTATTTGCTTATTTATTATTCTTATTCTATCTAAAGTCATGCATGCATTATCTAAACAGGTGCATTAGGTCAATGTCTCTTACCTTCAAATATAGCAAATAAATGCTCTAATTTCCATGTTTTTTCAGAAACTCCTTTAAAGAATCCATATATCCTAAAATTTGTCCATAAAAAATGACAAATGCATGTTAATAACGATCACTAATTTGTTATACGATATGCGCTTAAAAAGCAAATTATGCAAAATTCCAAGTGGATAATTCCAAGGAACAAAACCCGTGCGTACTATGATGTGCGACCTATGAAATGCGGCATTCGACTGATCGAACTGCCGACTGATTGTATATACCGTCCTTCGCCATCATCTTTGCGGGTTTGGAAAGCTATTGGAAAAATGGCCATGTTTCTTGAATGAAGTACTTCCTAGCGTATTTTTCTTATTATCTTAAAACAAAGTAACTTGCACTTGGTTGAATGAAAATAGATTCAAGAGAAATTTTCGAATTTTTCAAGAGAACCAGTTTTCTTGAGTTAAGAGAGTTTTTCTTCAGGCAAAATATTTTCTTTTACAATAAAATAAATTCTCTTGCCACTAATTTTTTTATCAGTGTATAATAAACAATATTTCACCGAATACAAGGTGTTCCAGGCTGAGCGTGCATTAGAACGTTCTAGAAAACTACAATATTTAGATCGGAGATTTTTTGCTCGTCATTGTTTCACAACGAGATCTATCGATTAAAAATATTTTCAATATGGCGGCATTTTCGGAAATACCGGAAGGTAACAGCAACTTTCTTATTTCAGGGTACCCCTATTTTTATTACTTACTTAAATTCTCTGTCAAATTTTATGAATTTTGATATGAAACACTCTGTATCTGATATTAATCGTTTTTGAGAAAAAAACTGTCTGTCAAAAAAATGTATGTAGACTAAATGTCAAATTTAGTGACTACCACAGCCATTATGACATAAAGAGAAGACACGTGGCTATCTATTTCAAAAACTAAATTGTTTCTTCATTTACCACGGATATAATATTTTAAAAATGTTATATAAATTATTTTAAAAAATAGCAAACAGCAAACAAGATATTTCAAAAATAGTTGTTCTTTAAAAATATAGCTAAATTTAGATAAAATATTTCATAATAATATACACTTCCGCCAAAATTTGGTCAGAAATTACTGAATATTGTACCTATGCATTGAAAAGTAAATTAATTACACTATCCTTTGTGTTTGGTAATTGCACCCAGTTATTGATAATTAAAATTATATTTATCACAAGACTATTATTATTACAATTACGCACAAATAAAGTTGAAGTGTCTGTATATGATTTAGAAACAAAGAGCTTTTAAGCTTCATACTATAGTTTAAAAACCGATTTAATTATTCTATTTAATCTTTCTACAAAGATCATTCAATATTTTAATATACAGGGTGGTCCGAACTGTATTCCGGAAACTTCGGCAGCATATTCTACAGATAAAAATAAGTAAAAAAGTTCGTATAAATGTATGTCCTGAAATGCTTAGATTCGGAGGTACAGGGTGTAGAAGTTTCATTTTTATTTCGATTTTTTCCAAATAATTTCTGAAGTAACGTCAATATTTGGATGAAAATTGGTGTCTGGGAGTTTTTTGACATGAGGAATTTGATTTTAGTGTCAATATGACTCCTACTAGTAGAGCGCGCCACCTACATATTTTTTAACTGGTTTGAAGAGTAATAACTTTTCGTCCGTACCTGTATAAAACTACTGAGTAAAAAAATATACAATTACGACATTTTTTAAGTGAAAAAGGTCTTTTGGTAAAAATCGTTAAGAGTAATGGTTTTCGAGATATTTGGAATAGAAATTATCAATACCTGTCATAATTGACATAAATTAAACATGTTGACTAAATGACTTAATTAGACTGAAATCATAAATTTGAAATGTTTTTGTGCCAAAAGTTCAACAGAAACTGCTTCTTTTCATCATTTTTTGCAGAAAAAATTATGATTAATTTCAAAAAATAAAAATTTCCCAAATTTATTATTTCAGTGAAATAACTATCTATACTCTGTTTTTTTTCTCAGGTAAGATTTCGACAGACGATGACAAAAAAAAGCAGATGACGTCCCATACCAATCTATTTATTTTACTAAAAAAAGTTTCTAACAATTTTTAAGTTAACTATGGATGGGTTTAAATATAAATTCGTCATGCGTTGTCTCTTGTTGTTTTTAACCAGTTTTATTGGTTTATTTCAAAAATGACAGATCGTATTTCAATTTTATTGGTTTGACGGAACGATGAACGACAAACGGACGCCGATGCGTATGAACTCGTCTTTAGATTTTTGACAAGCGTCAAAGTCTTGCCAAATTAGAGGTTATAATTTTGTGTCAACTTTTGTCAAATACCCTGCGTTTTGGAAGATGATGCATTTTGATTCGTGTTATTATGTGTGTTTTGTGTCTTTTGAAGTCAAGTGGAGGAAAAATCGAGTAAAAATTAACTGTAGACCCAGAGCACAGTTTATGGTTAATACTCGCTGCCCAGGCAGAAAGTCTTATACACCAATAAAATTACCATCAATAAAGTTCGCATACCATCTCGTTGTAAACACATACTAAAAACTGGAGTAGCTGTAAAATATCGACATCACACGATAGGTAAATAATGGATTTTAGTACTGCAGAAAAATAATGTCAAAAGGTACTGGTTTGAAAAAATTAAGATTAAAGTTAATTAACAACCTTTAAGGTATAAAATTTGGTAAGTGTTATTATTAATAAAATAGTTTGTTTTATTTATGTTGTTTTATTTGTTCCTGCGGAATATTACAAATTTGTATTTGTACATATTATAAGTTATATTGATAAATATAATCATAAATGCGGGAAGTTTCATGAAGCTTGAAAGTAAGAAATAGTTCTTTTTTATATTTTTTTGGTATGTGGTGTCTTGTTCTTGTTTCTTTTGTATTAACACATACCTACCAACTCGATTAGATTTTTTCAGTTTTATACATTTTTTTTTCACAATATTTTGAAGTTTGTCAGTCAAATTTTAAATATATCAATTTCCTGCTATGCGTTCCAATTGTACCAACTTATTTCTTTGTAAAATAAAATAAACTAATTTTAAATTAAAATGACAGACACATCTATCACTGTCAAGGATCTTGTCGTTGGACAGACTATACTTAACGTGTTTATTCTTCGTCAATAATGAACATGTATTGACTATTTCCATTTTAAATATCTTAAGAAGGGTTGCTCGTAGCGATTTTTACAAAGAGATATTTTTTACTGAAAAAATCACAGAGGTGTATATTTTTTCACGGTAGTTTTATACAGGTACGCACAAAAAGTTATTACGCTTCAAAACAGTTAAAATACATGTAGGTGGCGCCATCTACTAGTAGGAGTCTAGGAGTCATATTGACATCAAAATCAAATTTCTCGTGTCAAAAAACTCCCAGGACTCCCAGACACCAATTTTCATCCAAATATTGACGTTACTTCAGAAATTATTTATAAAAAATCGAAATAAAAATGAAACTTCTACACCATGTATCTCTGAAACTAAGCATTTTAGGACATAAATTTATACGAACTTTTTTACTTATTTTTATCTACCCAATATGCTGCCGAAGTTTCCGGAATACATTTCGGACCACCCTGTATACTGAAATTATTTTAAGCATTCCTTGGTAGATTTAAGTAAAATCCATTATACAAGGTAAGTAGGAATCAGAAATATCTCTGAGACAGATATCTCATAGATAAGACCAAAAAGTGCTTTAAAGTGTCTATAATATATGAAA